TCTTAAACATCTATTCTTCTGACCAAGTTAAACACAGAATGTGACTAAGTATACCACAACTCTTGAGATTGATGAGCTAGCCTTTGGCCTTACTTAGCAGTTTTACACATGAAGTGATTTTGAGGCTCAAGTTAGGGCTCGTTTAATGATTCATGCACTCGTTGTGTCAAAAATCACAACTATTAGGTCTTCAATTATCTCTGGACAGTTAGTTTGTCATGATTGTTGTTTTTTTATCAGCTATCCTTCATTATCTTTTTAGGTACAGCTTAGCTTTAAACATCCTCCCAGTAGATGTGGAATGTATTAAAATAAATAAATAGATAAAAAAAAGAATGTACAATACTGTCCTGTCAACATAATTGGTTCAAAAATAAAACTGTACCAGAGTTAGGGTTCAGAGAATACAGAGGCACCAGATGAACTGAGCAGCACTCCAAGAAACCCCTGGCTGTGTTTATTACTTTTCTACCTTCAGCTCATGTCTCTGCGGGGACTATTTCAATGCCTGAACATAGCCCAAAATCTAGGCTAATGCCCCGTAGGACCAACAGATTAAATGTCAATCCCTGGGTTGAAACAAACAAAACCAGCTGCAGGCATCAAGCTGTGTGTGCACGTCTGCGGTTGTTGTGTGAGTGTGTGTGTGCGGAGCAACAATTGCCCTTAGTAAACATATAAAGGTCACTACAACTGCCCTTAGTAAACATATAAAGGTCACTGCAGATTCAAATTGTTTATACTGTACCTTGCTGTCATGTCATGATGAAAAGGAAACACTCCAGGCCTTAATATCAGTCATTTCCAGTGTGTCAGTTAATTTAAAACTACATGTAGTCGGGCCAAACACCCCCATGTATTAATGTCAGACTTTTGACTGATCTGAAAATGAGCTGCTTCTATATGAGCTTCTCTGCTTTGATGACCACTCAGTGCATTTTACACTTCAGTGCTGCTATTCACCCACACACACTCACATACATCGATGTGTACATATACATCCATCGTTGACGACTATATAGATGCAGTATATACAGGATATATGTAGGTATATTTATGCATATATATATATAGTATATACGGTATATATGTATGTATATATATACATATATGTATGTGTGTATATATGTATATATATAAATACACACATGTATATATATATATACATATATACACATACACATATATACATATATATGCATACATATATACATATACACACATATACATATATATATAAATAATCCTGGATAATTGAAACAAAAAATGCATTTTTGTAACCAACAAAAATACTTGACAGAGTCAGCTGAGAATAGCTCTGTCCACAGTCCTGCAGTAACAATATTGCCTTTGCACATAGCCACCGTTTAGGAACTGAAGCAGGAGAGATTTACACTCTCCACAACGGGTCTCAAAGCTCACTAAAATGCAACTGGAGAGCATTTGAGAGGAGGAGTAGTGATGTAGCAGTCTACTCCGGTCTATACAGTAATGTACGTTAGTGTGCAGGGACGTGCTCTCCTCTTGTACCGTGCTTCCCCAGTCTCAGTCTGTCAAATATGTGTATTTCATATATGTACAGAATTAAAAGAGAAACTGATTAAATTAACAAGTCTGATCTGATACTTACTACTATTAATTACCAAGTGACTTCTGCTCAGTTAATGACAAAGTAGTGTCATGTAGCGGTACCTTTTGCGCTCTCTCGCCGAACATTATTAATGCAGTGAACGTATTCTCGCTCTCGTTGATATTATTCATTACAACGAGTCTCCCCCTCATGTGATACTGCTTAATCATACATGCTGCTGGCACAGCCACAGCAGCAGTTTGTGATTAAGTGTCTTGCCCAGGGACACATCTGAATGTTGTGTACGAACAAACTCGCCTTCTTGGTTCTATCCTGGTGCGGTCTTTGACAGGGTGAAAAATTAGGGCTGCAGATAACATATGTAAATTTTGGTTCACTGCCGATTGATTTTATTTACCAGCCATGACCTTTTGCCTCTGGTAAATATGTGGCCAGAAATCAATGACATAAAATCACTTGGCCTACAGACGTTGGCTCAGGCTGTAACACGTCCACCACCTGTAACTGCACGGAGGAACAGCAGCAGGAGTGTTACTCTGGCTGCTGAAACCAGTTTTCAACAGAAAAGTTTTGAAGGAGTTCGAACACTAACTGGACAAAGGACATCCTTAAACATGGCAATATTACAGTTCAACTTCCACTGCTGTGTTGTGAAGTTTAAAGCCTGGAGGCCCAGAAAAAAAATCGGCTAACTTTTAGTCAGTTTCCACTGCACTTTCAGCAACTTGGGATCTGGGATCAACGGCCTTGAAATATTGGAAAACACTCAACACCACCAAGACAACGCCATGTCAACAGCAGCCCCGCAGACCGCCCTGTAGCCAGGGGGCGCAATGCGTAGTCAGGGCTGAGCCTACGCATCTGTGATAAACACACAGTCTAAGTACGGAACAAAACACTTTGGAGTTCTTCCAACATTTTGTTCTGTGTTGTGTGTCCCTATTCAATTAACATTAATGATTTCTTTCCTTTCTTATGGCTGGTTCATGAATATTAAATTTGCGTTGAAATTAATGTAAATATAATGTGGGAATTGGTGTATTTTGAAAACAGAAGAGCAGAACTCCGGACTGACTTCTAATTTGTTAAGCATACATTCCCTTGATCATAGCAATAACTAAAGACAGCCAAGTGGAGAAAACCAACAGAGAGAAGAAAGAGAGAGAGAGAGCAGTTTAATTACATGCTGCTGAGCAAATGTTTCTGTAATGCATTCCACACTCATTGATCTACAAGGTCCCTGACACTGAATTACACTATAGATTTTAGTGTTTTAAACACACTGATGCACACCCAAATATAAATTGTTAATTTACTTCTCAGCATTCAGATGTGGCTTCAAATGTTCAGTTTCTGATGTTCAACCACTTTGATGGATGGAAGAGGTTGGCAGTGAATGTTAAACACGTCGCTTGAAGAAACTCAAATTACAGTTGTGTGGAAAGATACAAAAAAAAAGATAATGTGCAGAATTCCCTAAGTGTATAATTCCTGTATAACACATGTTATTACTGTTGTTTTTATTAGCTCATAGAAGCATGCCTGCAGCATAATTAATAAAGTGCATTTACTTATAATAGAACAACAGACAGAACTGTTTCAGGCTGTGTTTAACTTGTGTTTAACAATGTCATCAAAAGTGCAACATCGGAATACATGTTCTGCCTGGATGTGAAAATTGTCGCAACACGATAAAAGAACTACATTTAGCTCAATGTCATAAAAACAAAGTTGTAATTTATACATTTTAAAACATGCCAGGAATGTCATCAAAAGTGCAACATCGGAATAATGAAGGTTGATTATATAAATCCTGGGTGGGCGACATACTGAGTATTTATGACAAATTTATGATATATCGATATATTTTATGCACGATATTTAATTAAGATGTATTTTTTTTCATATGTACAAAACTTCTCTTCTCTATGTCTCGCTATCTGCCGTTTTTCCAGTTGTAGACTGCCTTTATACAACTGAAAAAACAACAACAAATGGCATCAAACAGAAGGACCTGTTTGCTGTTTCTACTTTCTAATCATGAAAGTAGAAGGTTAAAAAAAAAAGGCATGAAAAAAAAAGTTGTTGTTCCTTATGTGTGTGCACAGACATGTGTGCAACCTCCTCTGTGAATAGAACATTAATTGCATTAGCATTACAGCTGGGTGATTTTCAGTCGGAGAAAAACTCCGGCATCAACCAGCAAGGCATTCGAGTTCTGAAGTGTGTTATTACTTTGTGCATTTTAATTGAAGAAATTCTTCACAGGAAAATTGGCCTGACAGAAAGACTGAGAGTGAAAAGAACCACTCTCAGAAGCTGCAGCCCAAAGGACAGGAAGACGGCACAGATCGAGTTGTCCAGGTCACACTGTACACCCTGGACTGTTTACACCATTTTCTTTTACTTTTTTATTTTCTATGAAAGCTATAAAAAAAAAAGTTAAAAATCCTTCAAATGTCAGTGATGAGTTTATTTAGAGAAGTAACTTTCGGGGTGGGGTGTCCAAATGTAGAAGCTCTGACAATGGGACCTAGCACAATCACTTCATTACGGAATATTTTTTCTTTTCTACATTTAATCAATTCATACGTTGGTGAAGAAGCCAAAATGCAAGAACTGGGTAGAAAAACTCAAGGTAACAAGTTTAAAAGGCATGTTTTGTTTGAGCGGCAGTATTATCATGCAACACAAAGAGAGGATTTGTGTTTAAAAAGCTGCAGACGGTAAATCTTTGACTTGTGCAGATTGAAAAGCGGTTGAATTGAATGCTTGTCCTTCCCCGACGACGTGCCTTCACAACACCACGGAAAAAAGCTGTTCAGATTTTTACACAGAGAAGCACCCTGTGACTTGAGCTGTTTTCACTCGTTATCAAGGAAGCACACCCGCCAGGTGTGTGTGTGTGTGTGTGTGTGTGTATCCCTGATGGAAGGAAATTAATCAAAATGTAAAACAGTTTCCAGCTTAATTTCTGTGTGTTTATGCTAATTTCTGTGCCTACGTCTCTCTCTTTTTTCTCCCTTTCATTATTTTAGCAGCGCAGCTAAAATCGGTGGAAAAGTGAAGAGGTGGAAAATGACATTCGACCAATGCAAAAAAAAAACAATGCAGAATTAATTTGAATTTTGTACAGAAGAAGTCATGTTATCAAAAACGTCCGCAATAACCTTTTAGGCTAAACGAGGTGGTTTGACAAAACCAAATCTGAATTTTCTCGTTCTAATTAACTCTTAATTTGCATTGTGGTTTGTTTACAGTGATAAACAATGTAAGAAAACCATCTGGCAATCAGTACATTAAAAATGAAATGTGCCCTTCTTTGCATTGTTTCAGGTCAGAAGAACTGATTTATGGATGGCTGGAGTATATAACAATGAAGAAAATATAGTATAAAAATATCCATTACTTGATGGAGTTCCTGAAGTGGTCCTCTGCAGGGTTTTTCACTGTGCAGCTGTTGAGTACCCACAGGTCGGCTTCTGTCGGGTCGTCTGCAGAAACAAAGAGAGAAAGAGAGTAATTTTACTGTTAAGTAATTATCCATTACAACTTCAAAAACGAGAGTAATTTTACTGTTAACCGCAAGTAATTATCCATTACAACTTCAAAAAGAAAAACAAGTTAAATATAATTAACCAGCGTATTACGGCTATAATTTGAAATCCGTATTCAATGCACACAGAGCCAAAAAGGTGAAACAAATAATTGGTATTTTAAACACAACTCGGCAGTGAGCAACAAAAGAATAACCTCAGTAAGTCACGCTGTAACGATCTCACATTTAGTGTTAATTAGCAAACAATTTGTGTTTTTGGTAGAAATTATTGCATGCAGACGTTATCAAATGACTCATGAAGTTGAAGTCATTTCTGGTTCTGATCAGCGCGAGTGACATCACAATGATATCAAACATTTCTATCTCTGTAGACATACAGTATGTGAGCACTGGTGTTTAAGAAAAGGGTTTTTTTTTTTTTTCAGTTTTTTCTTCTCAGTTTTTGTTACCGTGAAGTAGGTGGAGATGAGCTGAAGGCTGAGTTAATGTGAATGATAAATATTTTATCATGATGAACTGTGCTTTCATACCGCTGTTAAATCTATACCAAACCATTCAGTGTGTGGTCTGTGGATCACAGCATCCACCTTGATTAGACCCTCTAACTCCCACCATGACATTATGTAGAATTAACCATTATATTTTGGTTATGTATTATTCTCCTTTTTTTCCTCCTAACAATATTAGCACAGCGCCAATAAAATTACACCGTGTGGCTGTGATTGAACCTTCCATACTTCACCATTACCGTCCAGGCATGGTGGGAAACATACAGCAGCCTTTACTTATCATTATTAAAACAGAATTGGAGTTCATCCACTTCGGGCTCATGTAAAATATGGTGATCCAAACTGACAAATGTGGCTGTAATTCCCCTCATAATTTTATTACCATTTCTCTTTATATTGTTATTAAATGAACAGTCCGGTGATTTATGTCGCCGATTCCTGGGCTTATTTTAAACACACACACACACACCTGACCCTGTGAGCTTGGGTTCTTAATACTATATTATAGTAATCACTGTAAACACAGACAGCTTTGTAAATATCTTAGTCCACACACACACTGAACTGCTCCTCAGGTTGATGTGGCTGGGTCTGCATGGCACTGCCAGGAGAGCTGTCACACACACAGACACGTAGACTCAGGGGGAATTGGCACTAACATGGTGGTGGTGGGGGCTGAGGAGAACCAGGTATTTCACTTCCGATCAGTTTCCCAGCTGCAGTGAAGCATGCACACAAACACAGGAGCGCGATCACCGAGCTCAACGTTTAGTAAACACTGCTGCTGTAGAAGACATTTACAGCTGTGGCTCCAGGTTAATTCAGAAGAGTGGTTTTTTTTTATATAGTTACAGAGTTGAGGTAAAGCTGCACTTATGTGATCAATGCACATAAATAGAAACAAACATCCTACAGTAACGGGACCGATGCTCACGTGAGAAGATGAATGAGTGAGTATCAGCTCAGATTATTAAAGCAGCATTAGTGCACTGCTGGGGCTGATCTCAGCTGTGTGCTCGCTGTCCTGAGGGAGGGTTTCAGGCCAGCAATAAAAGCCTCTTCATCAATTTAACACACGTGCACATGCTCACACGGACACAGTAAAAAAATAAATAAAATAAAAATAACCAACAGACTCAGCACAACTTAACCATAATGCTAGGAGTGCGACCATGAGAACTATAACACTTGAACAACGGCAGATGAGTGAGGTTAAATGCGTCCAAGCACAATTTCTCAATGGAAAAAATAAATGTGGTTTTAAGATGAGTGAGGTTAAATACGTCCAAGCACAATTCCTCAATGGAAAAAATAAATGTGGTTTTATCTTGAAGTACAAAAAAAAATCACAAGGATCTGAACTCAAACTGTGTTGTTATTATCATTATATTGGAATTAAAACATTTGTCTCACTTTAACTTCATACACAGCGTGAGGCTCAAAGTCCGCGTGATATTAGCAGTGTGACCACACAAGGTGTGACCTGCTTTGGTTTTCGTCCTAGAATAGAAGTTATTTTTTTCCACACACATCTTAAGTGTTTACCTTAAACTGAATCATTTATGACCACGGCCACAGTGTCAACACTGACCAGCACGTATTGATTTTCAGTTTATTCCAAATGAATAAAATCTCATTCTACAGTAGAGATGCACACAGCGCATCGATTCACTCACTGGCCATTAGTAACAGGTCTGAACACAGACGCAGCATCAGTGGAATCATACACAGCATTTAATTCAGCAATTTTCACCTGATATCCAGCCAATCGTACAGTGAGGAGCATCACACCTTCAAGGTCTGTTATAAAACAATGTAGATACTACATTTTGTTTATTTTACAGTCTTTCTACTACCACGATGACGCATCTGTTGCTGTGGCATCATTTCTAATCCTTGTTTTTCACCAGTGGAGCAAAGCAGCCATGGATTCTGTCCAAATGCCCATGCTAATGGATTTTTTTTTCTTTGGATTTAAGCCTCAAAGGCCCTTTCAGTCTGAAGTGACAACAGCAGCAGCTGTTTTTAATCCAGCATCAACCTCTGCAGCAATACACAGAAGGAGGGAGAACAGTCCATCACTGTCTGGTGGCAAAAGGTTGGCAGTGTCAAACGTCAGCAGCAGAACTCTGTGCCCATTCCACATCGGCAGCAGCCTGTCAGTGCCATTACTGTTGCCAGTATAATGGAGGTCAACGCCACCATCAGTCATTGACTTAATCGAGGCAGGGGATGATTCCGTGAGCCTTCGAGCCAAGTTTCCACCTACGGCAGCCACGACCATGTGGTACAAGGAACTGTTTTCAAGGAGCTGAAGGGCTTTTTCCCTCCACCACCCTCCAGACTGACATTTCCCTCTCACATGTTCTTTCAGCACCATTCTATAACTCCTGCTTTACTCCCCACTATGACAAGGCCCACAGACATGAGATATAAAGGAGCAGTAGCACTTTTACGACATCCATGTCTCCATGTCGTCACAGTTCATGAAAAGAATGTCAAGCTTCCTCTTTAGCCAAGATCAAAAACAGTTCTGGTACTTTTATTCTGTACCTGGGTCCAATCTGAGAGAGTGGTCAACAACACCTCCATAGACTTTAGCTACTTCAACATCGGAACTTTTCTGACAACTTAAAATTATCTTCCAAGTACAACAGTAACATCAACAGTGCCCCCTGGGATCAATGAAGTATTTCTGATACCAAACACCACAGATCCTGTGATCCTGATATCGTCCTCAGTCCATGGTACTACTACAGTTGTAGTACCATGGCCATATACAATGCACAAGTATTAGACCTGAAAGTACACACATTTTTAAAATCTCTCAAAAAATAAAACAAAGAAATAAACTTGGATTTTTTAACATCACTGACTACTGAAGGACTTTTCTCAAAACTTTCCATCACAAAAGTTGTTGTGCCTTAATACAAAGATAAAAATCTGGCTCCAGTGGGAGGTGTTTGCCTCCATGTTTGCATGTAAACAGAGAAAAACGACGCCGGTATTACAGCTTAATAGCAGCTACAAATGATTATATGATATATGAACACAAAACCCTATCAGGTCAAATGACAGATCATCAAGTTATTCACCTGGCCTAGCAGGTGTGTTTGTCAGTGTGGGAAAGTCAAAGAAGATAACACTCAATGACTCGACTTTTTTCTCTAGTCATAAATTTGTGGCACAAAGAAAGTTTGCTCTGGGGAAATCTCTGAAAAGGTAGATTTGCATATTATTTGCATACGTAGGGGGGAGCAGCCAATGGCATGGGAGTGGTTTGTTTAATTTTGCATATCATGGACCAAAGGCCCTTGTGTGATTGGTTGTTGAAACTGAATGTGCAGACTGTTGCTTTATCTTCTGCCTGATAAAAAAAAAGGGTCCAGAGGCTGAGACAAACACCCTAATGTGTGTGTGTGTGTGTACGTGTTAGGCCTGGAGCCAAAGCATATGGAGGTGTGTGTATGTATGTGAAGAAGTGGATAAGGTCATTCCCGCTCTGAGAGCAGGTCATAAGTAGTGCAATATCTGTAAAATATTGTGTACATTTACTGTAGTCAGCAACATAAAGGTAAAATGGAGCAAAGGGTTTAAAATGAAGACCTGAATCACAGTGAATCAGAGTGAATTAAACTGACAATGGTTCACAAGATCATTAGAAATGTTAATTAACAGCAGGAGGTGTAATTTTCTTTTTTCTTTCCCTTTATACTTGTATATGTGGTACTTCTTTTACTACTTTTTAGAGTCAGTCTACATGCAGTACACCGGCTCATCTGGAACCAGACTGTACAAAGAAAAGCTGTTCTATAAACGCTGCAGAGTCAGCCAGAGTGTGTTCAGTAAATAGGGCTGTTATGTAAATAACTAATGACTTTTGTGCTCTTTTCGTAATTGCAAAAAATTGCCAAAATCATACTTTGTCGTCCAGTAAAGCTCTTTCGGTGATTACTCTAGAAACAGACTTGTTTTTTCCCCGCAGGGAGTTTCATTCTCACTGATTATCAGGCGTCTTTTGCAGCTTTTTTCAGGCAGGAAGTTCAGCAAAGTCCCATTTTGTATATTTATAGTACAGTGGAGGAGATGGGGGGGGGGGTTGAAAGGTTTCTTTCTCAGAATCATTAACCTCCTGTCAATTATTTCTCTTTCTGGACACATTTTCAGTACATCATCGAGACACACCTTCATCTGCTGCCATATTTTTTTACTTCAAACAGAACGACGCAATCAGGTCACTCAGCAGCTCTACGTACATTACATAAGTTTTAGGTTTTTTTAAGTGGTGACACATTTAACTCTACATGAGACACGGCTTCAGTCGTTGTACTGAAGCTGTCTCTGTTTGGATTTAGGATTTGAAGCGGAGTCCCATTGGAGCTGCGAGAAAGTTTAAGGGGAGTAATGTTATCGGTAAAGGTTTTAG